AATTCTCTAGCGATTTTACACTAGTCGAATATACAAATTGCCTATGTAATTTCGAAGCTCGTTTTCGGAATTACATCGAAGTATCGAATATAAATTTACATGAGATATGATTTTTTTTTTAATTTAAATTTTTTAATGTAGATAACTTTTTTACAAGTTTGATTGTGCCCCTCTAGCTTAAAATGTTTGTGTCCGACACTGCTTCTTTGAGTCTTCTTTTGCAATAAATTTGAACATGCAAGATGTTTACTATTATTATTGCTTAAAATTAAATATTAATTTTAAATACACGTTCATTTTTTGATCCACTACTGCTATGCATAGAATGGATCCTAGTAAGGAAAATCAATAAATGTACATTTTCTAGCTGGTCCTCTCCCTACTTATTACATGCACTACAAAATTTCATTAGTATAAAGTGAGGTTAGAAGAAAATGAGTTTATTGTTTTGTGATGCCGGGTTTGGTTTAGGAAATCTTAAAGAAATTTGATGATTAACCCACATATCTTGTATTGTTTTAGGGATGGGTGGGAATAATATAATGAGATGATGAGGGATTACACAGGGGCGGACCGGGGGGAGGGGGGGGGCAGGGCGATTATAGTGGCAATTGACCCTTTAGATTTTGGGGGAAAAAAATTTTTGCTTAGTTTTTTTTTTTTTTTTTTGCTTAGTTTTTTATTTATTTATTAGAAGATACGCTATAAATTTTATTTTCGACCCCCTAATCCAAGTCGTTTGGGTCGGCCCCTGAGATTATAGAAGAAGGGAAGAATGGTTGTGCAAAGAAAATGAACAAAGAGTGGAAATGGGTGGAGGATTATTCAACTTACAACGAAATTTATTGTAATAGTTCATTTAAATCGTTCCAATTCCAGTTTTCAATTTGTTTATGATACAATATTAGTGTGAACTATAGAACCTTTCACGTTGTATAATGTCACAGTTGTCAACATGTTGAATGTCCATATTATAGAATAGTAGCTTACCGATTTACCAGTTGAACATCCAACATGTCAATTTAACGAAGCAACTTAAAAATTTTAAATTTTAAATTGCAAAACATTGAATCTATTATAAATTGGGTGGCCAAGAATGATTTAATTTCTATCACACGGGGTTATGAACTTCGCAACAAAAGAAGTTCACAAAATAGAAACCAGTTAATTAATATATGGAATTAAGTTTTATGTAGTTAGACTAATATTTTGAGTTGTATTGGCCAAGCAGAAGCAGTAATTGAGCTTCAGATTATTAAGCGCATGCAACTGTTAAATTCTAAACAGTCCTGAAGTGGAGGAGACCACTGAAAACCGAATTGCAAAATTCCTTGACCAAAGATTTATTGATTCCAGGCCAGCCTTGCCCTGTACTGAATTTAAATTAGCGTTCCCTTTTATTTAATTAACATACATAAAGAGAAAAAAAAAATATTATATTAATTTTTTGAATAAAATTATAACATAACAAAATTATAATACCCCAATGTTTATTTTTTATTGAGGGTTTGCAGCACATTTGTCGTCAGTGACACAACACAAAACAAGGAATTCAAGCGAAAACATTAACAGCACAATTTTTGGAATTCACGAAATTATGAAAGAAATAAATTCACAAAATTTTATTAATGTAAGATGCCCAAAAACGAATAATTAACCATTTATTTATAAGGATTTACATGAAAATTCTAAGGGCTTGTTTGAGCCCTTTCTTTTTTTGTTTTGAAAAATGCATTTTATAAGTGTTATGATGGATAATGTGTGAATAAAAATTAAAAAAATGTTTTGAATTTGTCTGTAATATTATTATATTGAAAAAATGTGTGATTAAAATGGATTAAATCACTATTTAAGAATACATTTTGATGAAAAAAAGAGACTCAATCAAGGGCCTAATTTAAAAGACCTAAAATTGAAAAGAATTCTCAATAAACTAAATAACAATAGCACTAAAATTTTAAATGCAATTTTCAAATTCTAAACAAACTCAGATGACGAAAATCTACTATATATCACAATAAGTTGTGAATTCAATCTGACCCGTCGTTTTTCTTTCCAGAATGGGTATTATGGGCGCAAATTGGAGCTCGAACGCCAAAATTTGTGTTACGTTTCTTCTATAGTAAGTGTACGATATCGAACAAATAATGTGATGGACTTTTCCACGAAGATTATACTTTAATGCATAATTTAATATTTCTAATTAGTATTCAATAAAAGCAAACAAAGAGTTGTGATTGTTGATTTGTTTTAAATACTTGAAAATATCAAAATTGCACACAAAGGTCAGTTGAATATTCAAATATGTGATGGATCTTGGAGTATAACAATTTCATCTATTGATCACATTTAAATCTTAATTCAAGATTCACATCTAATGTAGTGCTCGATCGAATTCTTCTATTGTATTCGATTTACCCTTTTCGAGTTCTCATTGAATCTATTTAACTAATCAATTTTACATCTTTATGTAAATCAAGCATAGTTAAACGAAATATTAGTTCTAAGAATTTATCTAAGATTGCAATAATTAATATAGGGATATCTACGCGTTACACTAATTTACCGAATAGTAATATGTAGTCTAAATCTATAACTCAGCACTTGATTCGTAATAGATTCATGAAGTAATTGAATAATTGGCTAAAGAATTCAAAACATTAAGTACATAATTAAAATTAACACATGCATTTAAAAAAACTTGAATCTTGAATAAAAGGTCTCAAAAGATTATATTGCTTGCCCCAATATGAAATTTAGCTACATAATAATAGAAAAAGACTAAAGATTTGCATTGAGTACATCCCTAAAATTTGAATTGAGATGTAGAAAATTGGATGAATCTTGCACCAAGTTCTCTTGTTGCCTTCAATCTTTATTTTAAAACTTAGATCTTACATTTTTGTTTTCCTTCATTCTGATAATCTCTCGAAATCTCACGTTTTATATTGTGCCTTTCAATGTGTGGAATTTCCTTTAAAGTGCTTCCATTATTCTATTTATACTCCCCTTCACGTTCTTCCAAATTTGGAGTCTTTCTAGAATTTTCACGAGCCAAAACAGTGGAAAAACTAAAATAAGTGGCACAGCGCCGGGATAGTAATTTAGGCGCTACCTTGCTATTCCAAAATTGCTTCTCTGGCAATTTGTAGCACCTAGGCGCCAATTGGCTGCTCATTTTCCTTGACTTTGGCTTCTTTGTTCACTCTAGTAACTCTTTTACACAAGCTCATCTAACCTTTAAAATAACACTAAAACCACATAAAAAAACGTTCTATACTTAGAAGATCTAACAAATAATCAAGTTAAAATTGTGTAAAACTCATGAGTAAAAACACACTCGTCAATCTGCAGTTTACTGTTTTTCCCTTTTTGGTTCAACTGTTCCTCAATCCATTCAGTCATTTGTTCTACTTCAGTCTCTTCCACTTTCAAAGAACTTTGTTATAATCAAAATAGAGAGGCTAGTCTTCATGGAATCCATATAGATCTGCCACATTTAACGTACTATAAATATCTATAAGAGTTGGTAAATCAATAATTTAGGCATTTCTGTTAATCCGTTTAAGCATTTTGAAAGACCCATATTATCTCGATTTCAGCTTGTGGTAAGTACCAATGAGAAATCTCTCATTTATCAAAAATACTATCAGTGAGTCTCTTTCCTGAAATTGTTTATCCCATCGATGTAAATCTGCTACTACCTTATATGTTACATTAGTCCTTTTCAACTTCTGTTTTATTTCATCACAGACTGCTAACACATCTTCCGCCAGATGTTCAGCAACAACACTCTTACTATTGCCATTGAGCAACTTCACCAAATCTACCACATGATAGGGAACCTTCTTTATATACACAATAGCAAACGAGGACTTGCCTGTAGCAGTATGAATTAAGCTTGTTTGCAAACTCCACCTGAGGCAGTGCAAAATCCTACCATTTGGGCTTATCTACACAAACACTTTGAACCATATTTCTAAGAATACAGTTAGTGACTTTACTCTCTCTATCAATCTGGGGATGGACACTACTACTTCGATTCAAATTTGTCTCAAAAAACTTCCACAATTTAATCCAAAAGTTCCCAAAAAACTTTGTATCCCGATATGAGACGATAGATTTGGGAGCTCTATGCATTCAAATAACCTTCCTGAAAAATAGTTTGATAATATTCGATGCATTTGAAGTCTTTTGACAGGCTATGAAGACTGAAGTGAATCATCATGCAGAATATGTCAACTACCACAAAACATAATCTACGCCTCATTGAGTACAAGGTAATCCCAAAACGAAATCCATAGCAAGATCTTACCATATGCATTGAGGAATAGAAAGTGGCATGTAAAACTCAGTATTCTGCATTTGACTTTTCGACACCTGACGAGTGTAACATTCTCAGATTATAACGCCAACAGCTTGCTTCAATTGTGGTCAATAATACTAGGCTTCCAAACTGGTTATTGTTTTGTCGTGCTCCAAGTGTCCACTTAGACCTCCATGCAAATATTGAATAAGTTTTTCACGTAAAAATGAAACAAGAATGCAAACCTGGTTGCCCTTGAGCAAATACCCATCGCTAATATAGGAATCAGTCACTGTTTCACGATTCTTACACTTGCTCCAAATCTCCTTAACATAATGATCATCTGCGAACAGTTCTTTCTAACTTTCAAATCCAACAATCTCATGTGATAGTGTGACCAGCAAAGATGCTCTCCGACTAAGGGCATCAGAGTTGAGACAAATTTGAGCTATTTGATGGGCCGCAACCATGTCAAGGCAACTTGAGATGACCACTTCTAGGCCGTCTTGGCCCTAAGCCCTTAAAGCTTGCGTGTCGTTTGGTTTTATGTTTTGCTTGGCATTATTAATTCCTTCACTTTATTAGGTGACTTTATTGGTATTTGCTTATGAGTAATCAGGGTGTTTTGGAATTGAATATACTGGCAAACTAAGTGAAAGAGAAAAACAAAATGAAATTACGAAACAATAGTGCAGAGGAAGCGAAAGGGGTGCAGATACTGCCAGAGAAGTTGCAACAAAATGTTAGCAAATACACAATTTAGACTGTAATATAACTTCTTTGATGAAAAATAGTTCTTGCAGCAATATATGAATATTACAGATATTTCTGTACGTACATATAATAACAGATTTCTTGGCAGTCAAATCAACTAAGATGCTTTGGCAACAAGATCAGCACACGTCTACAAATGATTTGTCGTAGCCAGATAATATTCATTTTCAACAGTTGAATCCCTTGCAGACAGAGAGAACTATGATGAGGATCAAGGCAACCACAATAGCCAAAACAATGAGTTTAATCTTCATGTTTTGAAGCCACATTTTTCTCCGAAGTGTTGTTCCAGAATTCCTGAAGTCTTGTGCCTGTTTCAACAAAATAATTTAGATATGTATACCAATCTTTATGATATGCCTTATCATCAATGCATCTGTAATAACACCAAGAAAATGGATTCATCGAGGAGCACAACATTCCTGTCTCATAATATTGTTAGTATATTTTTTTGTGCAAATTTTCAAATTTGAAGTCTAAAGAGAGAGACGAAAGTCAGTTGTACAGAAAATATATTCTACTTCTTACGTAAAATTAATCAAAATCATCGCTCTCGCTTTGACTACATAATTAAAATGTGCATCAAATAAATTAGTAAATTCAGGAAACACAACAGGGATCAGGCCAGAAGGCCCAAAACTCAATCAACTTATATACTAAGGGTGTGTTTGATTACATTTATTTTTCATGAAAAATATCAGTTTTCTACACAAATTCCCACTTTGGGTGTTTGATTGTTATTTTTTTCCATTGAAAATATTTTCCAACTTTTGAAAATATGCCTAATTTTCCTTGTTTTTAAAGAAAATATTTTCCTTGGAAGGAGGTAGTTTTTGTTTTCCTCAAAACAAGGAAAATCTTTTCTTTTATAGGTAATCTTTTCCATATCAATCAAACGCATTCTAAATGATTTCTCAGGAAATTCAAGGTTGGCTACCTGAATCAATTTTCGCCGGTTCATTTGTTAGATCAAAAATCAATCCAAAAACTAGGAATAATCTATGTGGTGGGTAATATAGGTTGGCAACGGGAGAGGGGGTGGGGCATAGATTGGGTAATATGGATTGGCAATGGGATGGGTTCGAGGCGGGCTCCCCCGCACTACTGGGCATTTCACATCCCGTACCTGCCCCGTTACCCGTTTAAAGCAAGGTAAGGGGGGCGGGGCGGGTTAATGTACCCGTTTAATTTTTATTTTTTTCATAGCTTTTGATAATTCATTTTATCATCCCCATTCATTCAAGTGAGACAATATTATAGTTATTAAATTTTTTAATTAATTTATTTATCTTTAAAAGTTAAATTATTCGAATATATTTGAAAAACTAAGGTTTTTATTATTTATTATATTCCTCAGATAATCTTAGTTACCATATTTTATTATAATTAATGAAATTTCGTAAAAAATTTCCATTTAAAGTATTGAATTCCTTATTAAAAAAATAATAATAATAAAATAAAATTAAATAGGATGAGGCCCCGTTACCCGTACCTACCTCGAGGTAGAATTCACTGTTCCTTACTCAACTTGATTACCCAATTAAGCGGGTAATCCTTGTCTTGTTCGGGACAAGGCTCCTGCGGGAATAGAGTTTTATAGGTATTTTTGTCATCCCTATCAGGGTAATAAAGATGAGGTTTGAAATAGAGTTTGGATACGGAATAGATATGGATTAGGACTCCCTTGAAACATTATAAATAAATAGGATATCGATTATGAGAGAAAATATTTTATATAAGTCCATGCTCGGCAAAGCTTAAATTTTTTAGGTACTTAAAAGTTGTGAGTTCTACGAAATACGTGGATGGTAAATTGTGAATCCTATAAAATGTGTGGATGGTAAGTATGTTTGACAAGCTTAAAAAAAAAAAAAGGGCTTTGCTAAATATGCATTAAATTATGTTTGTATAGATTGGATTCTATTAGTTTTAATATTTAACAAGGTTTTAGTTTTCTATTCCTTTAACTTCTTTACCTATAAAAGTGAACCTAGGATTTCACTGTATTCAACCATTTTTTTTATATTGATATTGAATAATAGATTTCCTCCCCAAAATCTTCATCTTATTCTTCCCTCTTCCTTCTTTCTCTGTATGAATTCTGCATGCATCAGAGCTAATAGTTCTGTGTCCTTTCATCCCAGATTACACTTGCAGTGAAACAGCAGGTATAAAAAACTCATCCAAGAAAAAGTGAAAACAACCACTCTCAAAACAAAAACTAAATATTGTTCTCATCAATAATTTTAATGTTCAGCTATTTAAATTCTTTTTTATCAAGCAACAATAGCTACATCAAAACCAATCTCAACAGAATTAAAGAACAGCTGAATGCGCGGGTGCACCCACAGAGATAGTGACATACCTGATGATGAAGATTCTCAGTCTTATCCACAAGAAGCTCTATCTTCTCCCCACGATCAAGAACCTATAATAAACCAACAAAGATAACATAACAGATGGCCAAGCCAAAGTACCTTTTAATAAAGCCAAAAATGGCATTCGTCCACAAAGATGCATCAAACAATGAAAGATTTATTTTCAATTTAACTTTAGGTTTTGTTTAAAATAAAATTTCTTCCCCATTTGGGGCTGTGTCCTCATCACACACTTCCAAAAGATATAAATAATGAAAACCACTTGTTGCAAGGAAAAGTGAAAAGAGAAGAGAAAAGGCATCACATTGTAGCAAAAAAAGTAAAGATAAATATTAGAACTGCTCTGCACTAAGTAATCAAATCAAAGAATATTACAGACTGATTGATTTCTGTCAACTGTCCAAATTGCATTGTGAGTGAAAATGACAGTGAGAACAGAATAATATAATATTTCTTCAAGCTTCACCATTAAAGGGAAAACAACTTAATAAGCCGACATGCAATTTAACTTTGTAAGTTTCATCCTATAAGAAGGTTAAATCAAAATGTTTGTGATAATTTCCACTGCATTGAAACCAAAAATTACTTAGTTATTTCAGGTTCAGTTCAACCCCCATGGGCAGGAAAAATCAGGCTATCCAACAAATTGGCCTTGTGTGTCTTTCAATAATACCTGGTACTTCAGCATCATAAAATTCTACTCCCTCCGTCCCACAAAAATAGGCTTGTTTCTATTTTCACACCGATTAAGAAAATGTAATCAATATAGTTGAAAATATAAATTTTTGTTACATTTTTCCTACCATACCCTACATTTAGTAATTTTTTAAATGGAAATAGTTCATATTTGTTGATAACAATGTATATTAAATAGGGGTATATTAGAAAACTAAAAATTTAATTGTGCGTGTGTGTATAACCGTGGGTTTCCGGGCCAGTTTATGCACACCTCTACTAAAAACAAGCCTGTCTATATTTATGGGATAGAGGGAGTATTTGAAAAACAGTTTGATAGATTGTTATTTCTATTCATAGTATGATTTTTACCAGTCCACTTAATTCCATGACACTGATCAGTAAAGGATTCAGTGGTAACAGTTATCAATTTTTCTCATGGCAGTTTGTGCATCTGGTAACAAGAGTGATTACCTACCACCTTTTCTCATGCTATAGATTGACCTGGTATTGCTACCTTTTGCACATACGTTATATACTCAAGGTAACCCAAGTTTCAATTCTCAGCAACTGAACCAATGAGATTAGCATGGCTCCTAGCAAATGCTTATATGATTGGATGACATTAGAGAAACTATTTATTATCATTAAGCAGAAAGTAGGTTAGGTATCTCGATATAATTATTAATCAAAACAATAAAAGAATGTATTCCTAGGTCAAGTTCCACTTCCAGAATATACAAGCTAAACAACACTCTCCGTACCTTCTCAATATTTTCCATCATAACACCTTTAACTTCTGAAACCTGTGCTTTCACTTTTGAAAGTTTGCTTATCTCTTCAGGATGCTCGGTGCAGTACTGCATATGTTCCTTCAACTTTCGTCTGTAATAAAGAATTTCTACACATCAGTTTCGTTTCATTAACACAAATAAACATATCAAACCATCTCATAACTGTAACAATATTCTAAAATACCCGAATTCCTTGCTAAGGCTATTAGCAGGAGCTGTTGCAGCCTTTCCACCACTGTAAATTGCTACAAAGTCATCCTTAATACGCTCCAGAAAGGCCATAGGAACCTGTCTTCCTGCTGATTCTTCAGCAACCACACAGTATGCTGCACAGAATGCCACGACCAATAATGGACAAAAACTATGACTCGATAAGGGGCAAAAATAAAATAGCAATGACATTTTGGCTCGTTTCAGCTTCTCCCAAGGCATTGAAATTACATCCAAATCACCTCTTTCATAAAATTAGTCATCGTTTTAATAAATTATTTGGAGCAGTTAACAATTTTGGATTCACACTCGAGAAACTTTCCAAATTACTAAGATAATTAAATTTTGGAAGTCATCAGAGAAAAAAGAAGTAAAAATAAGGCGTTACTGTTAATTGCCTTGGAATCCATGTTGAGAAACAATTGTGCGCATAATCATATTTAATTTTTCAATTATAAACGACTTAATAAAATAATCATAACCCAAATCGTCCGGTTCCTAGTTCCAAACTTATAAATCAACGCCTCACCACTACATTCAAAATGACGGTAACCACGCAAAGCCTTAAAAAAAAAAGAAAAACTATTGATTCGAGCTAATACTAGTAAAATTAGCACATACTGAAGCCATCGTGAACAAGATAATTGAAGGTGTGGCTATCGCAATTGTAGGTGAACTTATTGTTGGAAGAAGGAAGCTTCTGAAGGCACTGGTAAGCTATGGAGCTGAAATTGCCGCTGAACTCTGTATACTCCGCCAGTATCACCGGTGGCGTCCCACGCGCCACTAGCGCATAGATCAACGTCCTCTTGCTGTTTTGCGCCATTTCAATTCAACCCTTGGATTGATTGCTAACTTGCTAACTACGGTATAAAATATTTCGCTGTTCAGGTACTATTTTTCTGTAGATCTTGAAATTTTGATCACTGCAGTATAGTTTTGTAGCCCTTTCTCTTCCACCCCCCTCTTTACTCCTTCCTGGCTTTTAGAGAGAGAAAAAGCGGAGGCTAAATTGGAGTCCAGTGGCAGCAAGAGTCATTTTGCACAGAAGCTCATTCACTTTTGCCTTTATTACGGAATGCTTCTCTGTCCTTTTAAATTAACGAAAAACCCTCCAGAAGACCTTTCACATACGAAAGACCCCCTATCGTTTAAGTCAGTTACTAGAGCCATTAATTTCACTTAGGGTCCATTTGATAGTTTTAAATTTCATGGAACATGTCACATACAAGGAATTCATTTTTTCTTTGGCTATTTGATACAAAAGTGAAAATGGAGTCCGATTTTCAAAGTACAGACACTTAAAACATGTTTTTGACAAATAAATTGAAAATAAAATTCCTATGATTTTGGTAATTTTTTATTTTCCAACTTACATGAAATTGGTTTGTTTTTTCCACCTTTGCAATCAAACGAACCTTTAAAATTGGCCAAAATTAAAAAGAAGTAATTTCAATTGTGGCCTCAAAGTTTTTTGTTTTTGTTTTTTTTTTTGTTTTGGCAAACTATACCCAAACTTTCTATTTATACTACACTTGAGTCCTAACCTCTAAAACTTTAATCTTCTTTCCTCCATTTCATTCCAACTACCCTTAACGATAAAGTGATATGTAACATTATGTAAGTTAAGATTTAACATACACGTAGCAAGTTCCCCATGTCACCCAACATATATCTATATATATATATATATATAAAGAAAAACCAAAACCCAAAACTAAAAAGGGCCAAAAACTTGTGGAAGAACGAATGATTTATCAACCTACTTGCAATTTTCCTCTGATGCTTCGACAAATCCAAGTTTGAAATCATCACCATCCCAAAAAAATCAAAAGTTGCAGTAAATGAACAATGTTTTATCATTTTCTTCATTTTTTTTATTTTTCTTAAAAATTTATTTAATTATTTATTTTATCGATATATAAATTATTAAATAAATAATTACGTTTAGTTAACAAAAATATTGAATTCATTAATAAATTTAAAAAATATAGTTCATTTAATAAAAATATTACAATTAACAGAAGATTACATTAAAATAATAATAGTAACAATAACAATCTACTAATATTAATATTAATTTTAATAATACTATTAAATTAAGAATTAAAATTTCTTGTATAACAAAAAAGTAATACAAAGGAAGGAAAGATTTGTTCTATACCAAAATGAAGGGCAAAATGGTACATATGTTCGTTGCACCATTTTATTTATTTATTCAGTTATGCTATGTGTACAATCGGGATTGACAATCTCGGTTGACAATTAGACATATGGGAGGGGGTCTACGCTAAATAAAAAAATTGTGGGTCATCCCTTCTGTGAGTACATTGTCAATTGGGATTGTCAACCCCAATTGTATAAGAAGAATAATTCTTATTTAATTTTGTACTTTTTGGTGTCTTGGCCTCTATCGAAGATGCCCTTATAGTTTTCAGGAGTTTTGAGATCTTTTTTCAAATATTTTGTTGATAGTGAGAATTGCGGTGGATATAATAGCAAAGAATCACGAATCAAGATTCAAGATTCAAAAGAGAAATTTAGAAAATTGGGACTGCACAAGCGTGGAAAGGTTATGAACACGAAGAGAAATTAAGTCCAATTATACTTGGAGTTGGAGGTTGGTCAATCTAATTATGGATTTTGGTTTTGGTTTTGATTTGTTGGGTGGGGGTGAGATTGGGAAAGAAACAAAATTTTAAAAGTTTGAAATCATGGTTGATACAAATAAAATGTTTGGATATAATTTGTAAAAAAATAAATGTCTCAGCCTGAGTCAGAGCTAGCTCGTGTGGCTCGTCATTGGCTGTTTTCGGCTCAGTGATAAGTCGAGCCTAAAAAAATTTAAAAAGCTATTGTAGGTAGCAAGTTGCCTGTTATTAATTAAAAAAAAAAAACTATTATTAAAAGAAAAACATGAGTCAGCTCAGCTGGATAAGGCCCGAGCTAAAAGCTCAGATTAGCTCGGGCAAAAAAAGTCCAAACCATTTTTATTTGAATCGAACTTGAGTCTCAAGTTTCGACTCTCGATTCGATTCGACCGTTGACATCCTTAGATGCAATATAGAGACAAAGATCAATGAGGTTTTGCGCCAATTACCCAATAAATAACTTAAGAGACATAAAAAAAATAAATGACAAAAATGTTCAGAAAATATTGATGATCAAAATAGCATGTGATTTTAAGAAATTCTGTTCAATTCCACCGAGAAAAACGTAAAAAGATCCCTCAGTTGACAAAGCATGAATTTAGGTAAAAATTGTGGAAATCAGCATAGAGAAATCACGGATTTAGGGTTTGATTAGGGGTGAATCTCATTTGGTTTAATTTTAAATGTAAAATGTACCGTTAAATGCAATTTAAAAAGTGAAAATGTATTTATTAATTTTTCTAATAAATGGGCTGTATTGGGCCTATTTTATGCTTTTTCACGAATTATTGTAGCCCATTTTGATCTTCACATATGAAGAAGTGGAAATCACGAAATACTATACATTAAAAATTCCACATTCCAAAATCAGATGGAAAGTTTTACTATTCAAAAATCAGAAAACTCTAATTTTCTCACTTATTTTTTCTCTCTCTTCAATTTTTCTCTAAGGTTTGATAAATCAATTAATCCCAAATCATTCACTCTCTCTCTCTCTCTCTTTCTCTCTCTCTCCCCATTTTTATTTTTTCTCCAGTGACCGATCACTCACTCGACGACACTGTGATGATGAAGCCATCACAGTGGAGTGAGTTTCACCTCCAGCAGCCTATCCTCAGTTTCCATTCTTCTCTCCTTCTCCACCGTCATCCGTTCGAGAACCACTCTTACCGACGACGGCAAGGCAGAAGTCGTTTGCTGAGTCTTCCTCCTCATCTAGTTGCTAATGTAGATGGCGAGGCACTGCCAGCAGCAATGCCTTGCTGTTCCTAGACAGCGACGGCGGGTGCTGTTGCTCGAATCTGCAGCAATGCCTCTGGTGGTGGCGGTGGCTGGCAGTGTCAGATCTGCTACTGGTGGTGATTGATGGTTCATCTGACGGAGAGGTGCGTGGGTGTCGAATCTGGGGTGGTGGCTAGTGGTAATTTGTGATATTATTCTAATTAATAATTCAAAAATTAAACTTTCAGATTTGTGATTTCGATTTCTTACTTTCTGCAATTCATTTCATTTTTTCATGGTGATGCGTTTGTGTTGGGTTGGGGGTAAGTTTGTGTTTTGTTGTTGGGAGTGTTGATTGTGGTTGTGTCGGGGGTGATGGTTCAGGCAGTGGTGGGTGGTGGTGCTAGCGGTGGTCACAGGTGGTTTTGAGGTAGATTTTGTGGTAGTTTTTTGAGGTGGTTTGGTAGTGGTGATGGTGGTGGTCACATGTGCGGTGTCAGGTATTTTGGTGCTATAGCGATTTGGTCGCGATCTGGTGAGTTGGTGGTAGTAGTGGCATTGCATTAAGATTGTTGCAAAGTCCAAGTTTGGTTGTGTGATAACATTATTTTGGTTGATTTTTGCATTTGTGTGTGTTGTGTGGTGGTCGTGGTTGACAATGTGATGGTGTTTTTTTACGACGGTGGTGGCAGCGGTCTGTGATCAAGCATTTAGTTATTCGTGACCAACTAATTAATTGTAAGCTAAATATTCGATAATTTGCAACTGATAATAATTTGTGATCAATTAATTTGAAAATTTGTGACATACAAATAAACTCTGACTTGATTTGTGACCAATGAAATTAATCGTGACCAATTAATTTGATAATTTGCAATGAATAATGATCTGTGACCAATAAAAGTTGATTCTGTAACTAATGAATAATCAGTAATCTATAAAAAAAAAATTTGTGACCCAAAAATAATATGTGACCTATGAGATTTTTGATCTGTGACCGAAAAAAAGTTGTGACCAATAAATTTATAAGTTGTGATAGGGCTGGGCAAAATCCAACCCAACCCAACCCGCTCAACCCGATCAACCCAAACCAACCCGATCGGTTTGGGTTGATTTTTTAAGTTCAATTGGGTTGGGTTGGGTTGAAAAAATATTTTTGAGGTTGTATTGGGTTGGGTTTCGAGTTATGATTTAAAACCCAACCCAACCCGATAAATTAAAAAAAATAATATCTAAGATGAAAAAAAAACCTAAATAAAAACAATAGTAAAGATATGAAAATGACTTATAGTTTATAAACATCCATTTTTTTTTACATAGATTGATTCCTATAAACATAATTTACAAATGAAATGTTATTTCATAATAAAGTAAAAATTAAGAATGTAAAAAAAATAAAATAATAATAATAAATACTTCATAAATTTTAAACTTATTTATACATCATTTATCAAAAAGAATTCCTTACATAGGTATTTAAAAAAAAAATCAGAGATTTTCAAGTAATTTCAAACTTTAAAAATTTATATAAATTTAACAAAAATATAATCGAATCCAACTTTAATTGGATTTAAGTCCAAACTGACCAACCCAACCCAAACCAACCCAAACTTGATCGGATTGGGTTGGGTTGGGTTTAAACCATTAATTGGGTTGGGTTGGGTTGGGTTGGGTTGGGTTGACTTTAAATAAAACCGCCCATGTTGGGTTGGGTTTGGGTTGGGGAAAAAACCGACCCAACCCAACCCATGCCCACCCCTAAGTTGTGACTAAAAATTAATCGTGATCAATTAATTTAATAATTTGAAATGAATATATGAGTTGTGACCAATAAAAGTTTTGATTTTATGACTAATGAATAATTTGTGACCTATAAAAAATTTTATTCATGACCAAAAACTAATATGTGACCTATAAAATTTTTGATTTGTGATCGAGAAATAAGTTGTGACTAGAAATTAATCCGTGACTAATTAATTTTTTTATTTGTGACCAATGAACAAACTGTAACCTGCAAAATTTTTGAATTGTGATCGTAAAATAATTTATGACATAAATTTTTTGATTTGTGACCAAAAAATAATAAATTAGTAATTAAATTGTTAATTCGTGACCAAATTATATAGATCCGTGACCTAAATATATTAAATTAATTAATTAATTAAATCATAAATAAATTTAAATAAAAATTTGATTTTTGAATTTTGAAATTTGTTTTCTTAATTTTGAAATATACCATACTAAATCTCTCATTTATGAAATTTTCCCTATGAAGAACCTGCTTTATCGCCCACGTGATGAAAACCCATCAGCCTCTTGTTGCAGCATTAACTAACACGGATATTCTTCTGTTGATATGCTATGCTCCACTACATGTAGCCACTACATGTAGGGATGAAGGAATATATTCAAAGTGAAGGTGCTTCATTTTGTAGACCAATTCCCATTGTTTTTATTCCATACGTGGGGCTAGTTGGAAAGACTGTGCAATTGCATTATGGAAGGAATATTGTAGTTGTGCACTCTATCTGTGGGCCGATGCTATGTATTGGATCTGACCTTTTCTAAAACTTCTTATTTCTTTAGGGCTATGGTTCTTCTGGAATCCAATATACAAGTCAGATCATAGAGGAAATCTCAAGGATCATGCTACACAAACATAATGGTTGACATGTGGGATGACCGAATACTCACACCTCGGGGATCGGGCATTATTTTATTCACGCGGGGTCCACGCTCTATGTAAGGATCGGCCACCTATTTGGTCATCAAAATTCGAGCACTTTGACATTTTCCAAATCTCAAGGCCCACCAAGCATGCCTAGGTAATTTTACGTGAGAATATATTCTGACAAGTCAATCACATTCTCTTGTAAAATTGACACGGTTTTGCCCGTTCCTTTTCTTCTTCTTTTGTGGAATGATCCTCTAAAATTCTCATAAAGTAAAATTTCCCTCTCTATATATATACCCAAGATCAATAGGCAGATTAATTATCATATCGATCTTCATATACTTGTAACTGTATACTACTTATTTGTGACACTGATCAAATATGGTTTATAAGAGTCCACACTATGAAGGAGATCTTTCAACTATACAAAAGGTACACTTTGTATCCTCATTTTCTTCCCACTTCTTAGAGAAGTGTTTGTAGATAACTAGGTATTTATCTCCAACACTTGTTGCTGAAACTCTTTTATTTTTATTTTCTTTTTCCTTCTCTTCTCTTCTTGGCTAAGAAAATTACGCTAACCCCTTGCACTGCGCGCCTTCATTGCAATATACAATACCTTAAAAGTACAAATCAAATATTGTAATTAACTATTGTATTATCAAGAATTTACTAAATAAACATTATGGTTCTGTTCGTGCAGGATAAAAATGGGAGAAATATCTCTATTCCAGCCAAAGCTCTGAACATAGTTTGGGGCAAAGATGGCCGCTACTGGAAACTACCAGACAATCCGTGAGTCACTGGCTTTTCCATTTTCATATTTACCTCAACATATTAATATCGTAGTTTTACTGTACTAACCAGTCTTTTCAGTAATATGCCTGCAGAACTGTTGCAGGTGTCCTGGCTTGAAGTTAGCAGTTGTGTTGATGGGATAAATCCTAAAAAGAAGTACGAAGTGGGGTTCAAAATATCGTTAAAGGTAGACGCATTTGGTTGGAACAAGTATCCTGTCTACATTATGATGAAGAGAGGACAGGAGGGTGAAATTTCTTGGAAAAAAGTCTCTTTGAACACCAATAATGGTAATGGAAACCAACCATTTGAGATATTAGGTGAGCTGATGAAGACGGAGAAGCACATGACTGATACTAAGCTTTATTTTGGTTTATATGAAGTGTGGAGTGGGAAGTGGAAAGGAGGCCTGCAAATTCACGGTGCCTTTGTCAGAGAAGCAGCATCTTAAGTGCAAATTCCTTCTTTACAATGAATAATGTATTATCTGCTTTATATTTTTGAAAGTTATTCAATCAGAAAATAAGAGGCATGAGAGAATTAAAGTGAAGAAAATTATGTATTGATATTCGAGATAAGCCAGATTTATTTGCTGGCAGCGCTGTATTAATTGTAATACATTAGAGATGATTGGAGCTCATGATGTTTTCTTTTTGTAATAAACTTCATCACTTTTCCTCATTCAAGTTGTGAGTTTCATCCACTATTATCTCATTCTCTTTGGTGGTAGGATGAACTCCATTGATTTCGATACCTCATGTTTTTGCCCCCCAAAAATACTAGCTAGTACAGTAGTACCTCTGAGTTTACCTATGTTATGTATCCTTAATAGGTTGTCGTTGCATGTGATTTCATGAAAGTGTCGCAAGATAATTTTTAAACAAATATTTAAATAAAAATAGTTTAAAATTTGATTTTCAGTGCCATACACCACTAAAAATGTTCAAAGTCGGAATCTGGAAGATCGGAGCTGTACACTACTAAACATGATGAAATCTAAGTGCTCAAACCAGATGAATGTTTACTGGAAATTCCTGATATATTATTCTAAATCATCTCTTTTTGGGTGTAATGAAAAAAATACATGCAAATGATACCATGCTGCTGTTTAGAACTGATACAAAAAATGAAATAAAAGGATATCCGACAGACACTAACGTAAAAAATCAAGAAATGTGTACAGAATGTTACAATACAATATTCCTACATCACATAATCACATGCACTGGTATATCTGTAACTGAAAAGATTGTGTATGAAAAATGCGTTGAGATCCTCAATCAGTATCACCATGAGAAAGCCATTGTTCATGGCGAGCATCAAGCCAATAGTTTTTCAATTTTGCCGCCCGATTTGCCTAATAATTTCAAAGAAAAAGTATACATTATAACTTTAAAATTCACAAAATTAGAAATTTAATATACAGAAGATAGCATAGCAAAGGAAACATCACGACAGCAATAAGGGGAACAAAGGTAGGACAAATGGAATAGAGTAATGCTATTCACAATGAAGACTATCGATAGTCGCCTATGTGGTATACACATGACAGTTTATTATTTGACGCATTAATATGGTAGTTTTTTATTGTCTCATACATCAAATAACAAATTGCTTATATATGTTACGTAAGGCAACTATTGATGGTCTTCACTACGAATAACATTATTCAATGGGAAATGAGGGGTTCATTTTGAGTTTTTAATGTTAGTTAATTTAATCAAGAGGAAATTTCACGTAATGTCCATTTTCAGCGAGTCATTTGCAAAAATGTCCACAATTTTGTCAATGTCCATTTTCCAATTATGTAGACGAAAATACCCTTGTTAGAAAATATTATTTCCACACAAGAATTCAAAATTTTCCATATCATTATTCATGTCAATCAACGTAGAAATATCAATCAGCATTAGATATTTGGGTCGGGTAGGTGTGGGTCGATGTGGGTCGGGTTATGGGTCGAGTAGGTGCGGGTCGAGTTGGATCGGGTTATGGGTAAAAAATGGAAAACCTGATAGAACCCGACCCGAATACAAAAAAATAAATAAATAAATAAATAAATAAAATGAAGGCGGGGGAATGAAAAAATAAAAGAAGCCCTAAACTAAGTCCTCTCAACTCTCACTCTCAGTCTCTTAATCTTCACTCCGACCCAACCCGCCGACAAAGAGCCTGTCCATTTCTCTCTTATTTTCCCAATTGTCGTTTGCCTACCAGACTTCAGAGTCCAGTGCTATAAAGTTAGTTTATTTCGTTATTTTTTTCTTTATTTCGTTATTTTTTTCACTTCCCCAAGTCTCCCCTCTTCCTAAATCCTAAGATTTAGCTAGTTTAACATAAATTGATGTCAAGGTCACTGAGTGTCTCGATTCTATTGGGCGAGCAAATACTAACTGTTGATACAATTTGAGATAAAAAGTGGTACATGTGAGATATTGTCGAAAAGGTTGAAGAGGTAAAGTGTTTAAAGAAATCAGGAAAATGATTGTACTTTCTGTTGTCCCTGTTATTGTATCTTTTGCTTTGAGATATAATCTATATGTCAACTAAATTTGATGATACTAGATGATAAATAACACTAGTACGAAGTGAAAAATACTCCATTTGAGGCATATTTCACATCTAAGTTAGGCAATAAACATGATGAAATGACACAGGTTGTGTTGCTATTATACACTCTTAGACCGTTTCAATGTTCGTCAGCAACTAAATGGCTTCATTTTCACATCAAATTTGTTTTGCATCTTGTTGAGGGTTGCATTTGTATATTGATGGTTTCTTATGGAGGAAGACTGTGATAGGTTGATAGCAGATAGAACACTTTGTCAAATCTTATGACATGTATACTTGATTTTGCGTATGGTCTGTTGTTATTTATTTTGCTAAAGAATATTGGATTTTCAGTTTATTTGCATATCTAAATTAGGCAATTAACTTAATGAAATTGTAGAAGATTGTGTGTATACTTTTGGACTGTTTGAATGGTGATCAACTATAAAATGGTTACATGATAGCTTCAGATCAGAAATTAGGTTTGTTTTAATTTCAACAATTAAACAATTTAGTTTAGATATGGTATTTTATCAAACCATTGTATTGTAAAAATTATTTTTCTTTCACTACATTTTAACAAGAATGTTATATTTGATTTCATTTGTACGTTTTCATACTATTTGTTAAAGTATTGTTTTCATTTGTTTTGATTTGTAGATGAGTATGACACACCAATATAAAATTCCGGAGGAAGAACGTGTTCCGACCCATGTGTCGCAAGTGAGCAACACAAAATATATATCAGCTGTCCTCAACAAATTGGATCCACAGCAAAAGCGTCAGTTGGAGGACAGTTGTATAGGACATGTTGCAAGGTTACCGGAGCTGAAACTATCTGCTCAATTAATTCATGAAATGGTAAACAGATCGGTGGTATGCCGAAAGCTGTTTAAGGCTTGGTTCAAGGTGAACCAAAGGTTTGCACGATTTGGACTGTCGGAGTTCGCACTAATTACTGGCTTGAAGTGCAGTCCAGTGCCTAAAGGTACTGAAGTTGACAAAATCCTAGAGAAAACCCGTCTACAAGATAAAATGTTTGCTAATATGGACCGGATAACGTGTAGCGACCTGGAGAAAGTTTTTTTGAAATGTGCCAACCGTAACGATCGTTACAAGCTTGGGTTGGCACTAATTATTGAAGGGGTATTTAATTCAAGAGATCGAAATGTAGGAATAAATTCGACAACTCTTTCCATCATTGACGACTTGGATTTTTTCAATGCCTACCCATGGGGGACAGTATGTTTTCAACTTCTCATCAAATCACTACTACATGGATGGGGAAGAAAGGCGGACATGGTAAAAGTGAATGATTGTGATAAGATGACTTACACATTGTACAGATTCCCTCTTGCTGTCCAGGTATACATCTATTTTGGTTTATTTCAGTTCTTCCCATCGCTCATTGTTATTTATCTCCAAATATGGTTATTACTGTTACAAATGTCATGCAGATTTGGGCGTACGAGGCAATTTCGGAGTTGGGAGCTCGATTCTCGAGTAAGACTTTTGACGATGTCCCGAGGATGTTGCGGTGGTCTGGCACAAAACAACCTCATTCCCGAACATATTCAGATTTTTTTGAGAAGACAAATGTAGGCGATTTACATACTTAATTGCCTTACACTTCGCAATATATATTTTTTCATTTCGCCTATTTTTCTTCTCCTGTAGGTGCACTTGTGGGCAACGCTACGAGCAACTACTGCAGAAGAATTGCAGCCGTACTTCGTCAATCTAGTTCCGTTGGAAGACGCAGTCGACCCCGTTTTAGATGGTCTTGTTGTTCAATCAATAGAAACACAAGCTTGTCCAGTTGAAGATGATGTCATACGGAACGATGACAACAACCATCGACCAAATAAATCCCAGAGAGGCAACAAAGGTGGACCTCGTCATCGAGATTTGTATCTCGTTGAAGGCAGAGAAGAAGAGTATGGGGATCCGATCGTTGAAAGACCTGTGTCTTTAGATGAGATAAGAGTTATCTTGAATGAACAGCGGGAGGCATTTGAGAACAAGATGGGGGATTTGAGGGAAGAAATGAACACAAGATTCGCTAGTCTCCAAAATGATCTAAGAGGTCATGTGTGTGGTTTGAAAAATCATGTCACTGATAAGATGAATGTTCTTCGACGAAGGTTTGATGAAGTTGCTACAGAAATTGGACAACACAATGTTGGTGCTGAGTATGGTGGATTTGGTCATGACGATCGCAGTGGAGACGAGCCCCAACATGATGTTTTCACTCCCAATATTTCTGCGGACAGACAGGATGTCGGAGAGGCAACCGAACCAGCTGTTTGCAATATCCCTGATGTGTCCATAACGTCGGGAGGTGGGGTTGGAGTACTTGGGTCAGTATATGTAGCTATTGATATTGTGAAAGAGGCACCATCCGTTGTACCTACAGTTGGTATGACCATTGATGATCAACTGGTTCATGATAGCGTCGTTTCTGGACCTTCGATGGCAGCTGATCCACCTACACGTAGACCTCGATCGTTGAGGCTGAAGAAGGCTAGTGCAAACACAAAGACACCATACACCCGACCTGGTCGCAAGAGGGGTAAGAGGGATGAGTAGAATTTATAGGTTCACCTATTTTGATTTATATGGTGGTTTTTCAATATGTATTTTGGTTTATGTCGTGGTACGAAAAATGTATTTTGGTTTAGACAGTGGTTTGCATATTTTTGTTTATATGGTGGTATGTAATATTTTGTGGTACGAAAAATGTATTTTGGTTTAGACAGTGGTTTGCATATTTTTGTTTATATGGTGGTATGTAATATTTTGTGGTACGAAAAATGTATTTTGGTTTAGACAGTGGTTTGCATATTTTTGTTTATATGGTGGTATGTAATATTTTGTGGTACGAAAAATGTATTTTGGTTTAGACAGTGGTTTGCATATTTTTGTTTATATGGTGGTATGTAATATTTTGTGGATGCAAATTGGTGGTTTATAAGTTAGTGACATGTTCCGAATGTTGTATGTTGAAAATAGTTTATAATTTTATTATCTCATATAGTGGAGTAGGAGATGTCAATGTTCTAATGAAATGCGGAGAAATCCTATACTTTAGTTGAAATGTCATTCTATACAAATGTACTGTCAAGTGTCCAGATTA